AACTCTGATACAAACTGAACCAATTTCTAATCATCTCCATTAGCAGCAAGGTCTCATCTGAGAGCATTAACATCAGTTAATACACGATAAGCAAACATAGTTAGTGCTTTATTGCCGCAGGACAAACACACCTAACCGCCATGAGCCTTGTTTTGTATTGCTTGGCCACGAGGAACGGTAATTCCTGTGAAGCCTGCCAGGTATTACTGACACGGAGAACAATGCTAAATCCCCGTTAGCGAACTCCAGCCACTGCAGGGGCTTAGCACAGCTTGAGTTCCCATTGGCCTGGCAGTACAGGAGCGCACACACTCACACACGAGCAGATGCATTGTCCCACACGCATACACACACACACACACACACACACACACAGCCCCCTGATTCCCATTAACCTGCGGAGGGCCTGTTCGGAGCCGGGAGAGAGAACCCTAATTTGTCAGCCCGCTGTGGGTCGAGGAGCTGAAGGTCGTTAGCAAATAGAGTTCACCCCTAATTACTATTGGTCTTCCCTCAGCATGAGTGTGCACATGTGTGCACGTGCACATTCGATATGTAAGTGCGTCAGTAAAGATACTGTTTGTGACTTGCAAATGTGTTTTTTGTATGTGTGTCTGCGCTGTGCATAGTGTAAGCAGCAGAGTCTCCTGCGTGTTTATTGAAGTCAGTCTGAAGTCATTATACACAAAATTAAATTAATCTAAAAAACGGGGAGCGGTGCACAAACTTTGATACTGCAAATATATTTAATTTCTTACCCCGTTTTTATTATTACCTCCCCATCTCTGTCTTTCTGTTTCTCTCTTCATTTTGCTCCCCGCTTGGCCTCCGTCGTTCATCCCCTCTCTCTCTTTCAAAGTCTTGGAGAGCAGCAGATTTGGTGAAAAATGCACTTATTGATTTTAAAAGTTGTACAGTCCTCCGTGCTCTCCTTCTCCTGCCTCCCGCTAACCCAAAGACATAAACTAAAGCCTACGTGGTGCTTCTGGTTGCAGCTCGATCTCTAACACTGATTCTGAACAGCAGTCAGTAATCCATAGTTATTTATTCTTCGGGGTTTACTCTGGTGATATATGTGACGGACAGATATGAGTCAATGGTCAGGGTCGGCTGCAGCACGATGCCCACTAAGCCCCCTGTGGGGATGCAATATTCTGCTCAAGGACACTTCAACAGGGCAAATGCTTGATGACGGACATATTTCCATTTGGACCCTCTGTTTGAAGGGCATTGCTTTTATCTATTGGCCACCATCAAATGTCGCAAGATCATGTTTCTAACATGAAATGGAATGTGTGGTATTGCAGTTTAAGCTCACCGACACAGTTGCATTTAAAAATACTCTCAGTGAAATGTTCAAAAGAACCGTAGTGCTGTTTCCGGACTTCTAGAGTGTAGCACAAACTGCTCATGAAATAGACGGTATGTCTAAGTAATCGGTGTCAGTGTATCATATATGACCAGCATTTCTTGTATATCGCTGCTCATCTCATTTACATGCATGAATTGGAAGGATAAATCAAACTGCCTCTCAGCTCACTGAAAGTAATGAACATCAGCAAATCAATCTCTGCCCTTTTTATTAATTGTATTACCCATAATTAAACCTATTTCTTATTATATTTGATATAGGAATGTCATATGATTAAGATTCGATCAGCAAATTTGATATTGGATTTAGAAAGGTTTTTAATCACCAGCAATATAACGTTGCGTCTTCCTGCCTCTGCAGCCTGTCCTCATTTTGACACTCTCTCTTCCTACTAACCACTGCTCAACCCCCACTTTCTGTAGGGTAAACCGGCCATGTTGGACACCCGCATTGAACTAGTTTTAAGGCAAATTAATTGGGTATGTGCATATCTAGTGAATGCATGCAGGATTTTGACATGCACGCGTCACGCAATTTTGGGATTTCTGCATGTAGCTGCTTTGTTTTGGCTCCACTCTTTTGTCCCCTCTCACTTTACCCGTTTCCTTCTGCCTGTCAGAACATATTGTTTCTCAGGAAGGTGGCGTTTAGGGCTAACAAAGGGGTCCAGTGTAGTGGAGGGAGTGATATTATGAGCTTCGGTTGCCAGATTGGCAACAAATCGTCTTTTATGAGCACACAGGAGAATGGACAGAGGCTCACAATTTCTCCCCTACTTCTAGAGGAAATGACTAAGGCCAATTCAGGCCACACAACAGTCCGTTTTTTACAGAACTTTCAAATACAGTTTGTGTATTCACAGTGGAACAGTTGTACACAAACTGTACAATATTTAGTTTTTTCCTTGTATATTAATGTTTCTCTTCTTCCTTCTGTCTGTCCTGTCTGTTTTTTTTAAACCTCTGTTATGATTGTGTTGCATGGAAGTCAGGTGCACATTCACTTGCAACATAATGGACCAGCTCTATGGTATGGAGGACTAAAAGTGCCACAATTAAATAAATAAATACACCATTAAATAATTACTTAAATGTGTCATTCATTAATTAAAATTGGAATTAAATAAATAAATGTGTCATTAAATGTGTCATTAATTAATTAAAATACCGATTCATTGTATGTAAAATGCATATATAACTATTTCACTATTTACATTTACATTTCATGATCCTGCGTTGCAGCGCTTCATGAATTACTTAAAACTGTCAAACTGACCCATCAAAGTCAGTGGGCGGGGCTAACGCGAATCTAGTCTGATCCATTGCTTTGGTCTGAAGTACCTGGATAGAAACATGGAGGATCTCCGTGAACTTTCCAGGGAGTTGGTGAGAGACATTTTAAACTTAGCAGGGGATGTAGAAGCAGGACCTGCTGAGTCCGAGCATGTAGCTAGTAAAGCAGAGGAACTTATTGAAGTTGTTGGAGTCATTTCCGCACTTTCTGACGAAGATATCGACCACAGAGTAATTACAAATCTAGAAGAAGTTGTCCACCGCTTCTCTGGTACCAGGGCGCATCAGGCCCAACACACACAGGGACCGGGGCGTTTGCCCTTTGAGATACCGAGTGCAGTTCTGGAGCATCAAGTTCTTTGTGGAGTTCCCGCAGTTCAAATCGCAGCGATGTTCGGAGTGTCAAAGAGGACCATCAGGAGGTGCATGCAACAACACAGTTTAAGGTATTTACACTAAATTCATGAGGTTTCTGTTTATGAATTGCTGCTCTCATACACTCTGAAAGAATATGGCGTTTAAGGTAACATTACTTGATGTTGTGTTTTTTTTGTTTCTACAGAAAAACAGATCTCTATTCAGCTGTGAATGATGAGGAATTGGACCATATTGTAAGTGAAATTCACAGAAGTCATCCAAACACCGGCTACAAGCTAATGCGTGGTCACCTGAATGCAAGAGGTGTGCGTGTTCCAAGTGAGTATAATAATATGGGCATTATTTAAATGTATTTTTAATTCGGAGCTCTGCCCTTTTGAAAGGTGAAGGAAGCCCGCTTTTGGAAAGACATCGCCTCTGAGATGTAGAATGTGTATAATAGAAGAGAAACACACATTTCAGGACAGCTGACTTCTATCATCAGGACCTGTACAGATTGTGATTTTTAGCCTCCTGTTTAATAGAGGTGGAACAATATCTGACAGTAATATTCTCAGCTGTCCGGATGTTCCTCCCCTCAGTCTCAAGACTGCAAGAGTCTTTACGCAGAGTAGATGCAGAGGGAGTCTACATGAGACGTCTGAGGCTGCGTGTATTAAGGCGACGGCAGTATTTTGTGCCTGGCCCAAACTCTTTGTGGCATATAGATGGCCACCATAAGCTCATCAGGTCAGTGATATTAGCAGATAAACAATTCATCGTTCTAGATGTTTCATTACAATTGTTTCACAATAAAGTTGTATGTTTTCATGTCTTTGCAACAGGTGGAGATTTGTTGTCCACGGTGGGGTGGATGGATTCAGTCGTTTAGTGGTCTACCTGACTGTGGCTGGCAATAACAGAGCTCATACGGTCTTACAGAGCTTTATCGCCGCTGTTGAGCAGTATGGGCTGCCATCAAGGGTACGGTCTGATAAAGGGGGGGAGAATGCAGATGTAGCAGAATTCATGATCAGAAGCAGAGGTACCGACAGGAATTCACACATCACAGGCAGAAGTGTCCACAATCAGCGGTAAAGAAATATGTTTGGCAACTAGGCTCACACAACTAAAATACCAGTTGAATGTACTTTAGCATATGTCACATAAATTAACAATTGGACAATTTTATCCTAAACACAGAATAGAGAGGATGTGGAGAGATGTTTATGAACATGCCCTGGACCTCTTCTATCAGATCTTTACTTCATTGGAAGATCAGGGAACACTGAATCCAGACAATGAAGTCCATCTTTTCGCTCTGCACCGGATTTTCCTTCCACTGGTTCAGCAAAGCCTAGACTCTTTTCGAGATGCTTGGAACTTTCACGGTCTGAGAACTGAAAGGAATCAGTCACCACAGCAACTCTGGAGACGTTACAGAGAGCAAGGCCCTGAGGAGGATCCTACTGAGGTTAACAATCAACTTTAAACACGTTTCTAAAGTGTTTGCCCAAAAGGAATTATGGGAGGAAAAAAATTGTGCTAAATGTGGTACTTTAAATGGAACATTTACTATATTGTCTTTAAAATCTCCCAAGCTTTTAAAGATCAACCTGTGAGCTGTAGTTTCTACAGTGCATACTACAGCTGTATTATTTCACAAAACTTTAATAACTAACAATTTCTCACTGACTTGGTGACCAAAAATAACAATCTTGTGTTAGGACATGTCAAACTATTTTTAAGTACAAGTTTGATTATGCTTGTCATCTTTTCAGATTCCTGAAGAGTATGGGATCGACTGGAACGGACCTCACAGCCTTCATGGAGGCACTGTGTCAGTCCCCGAGGTTCAGCTGGCCCGTGAGCTCTCAGATGAAGAGGTTGCAATTTTGCCAGCTCCAGGAGTTTCTGTTACTGATGCGCTTAGACTATATGTAGAGACTGTGGAAGTGTTATCAAGAATCTTAGACTGATGTCCGACACGTTTTTATTTTTTGTGTTAGAACAAGCAGTCAAAAACTGAAAGTTTGCTTTCCTTTAAAAAAAAAAAAAATATATATATGCCGAATAAAAATAAAATAAAAAGTCAACTGCTGCAGTGTGTTAATCAGTTTTCAAAGACACTGAACTTGTGTCTGAAAATACTTAAACAAGCCCAAATCCAGTACTTTTTATAGCAGCGACAAGTGCTTTCTCAAAGTCCATGTAGATCTTGAAATGAGCTGGCAGCTTTAGTGTTTCAAAGCATGTGGAGGACGTAGGAAGGGTTCCCTCAGAAATCACCACTGTCAGTTCAGGAGGAAGCATCTCCCAGCCAACCCAGGATGTCAGCAGCTGGGCCAGGGTACCTGATGAAGCTAAAAGTCATACAATGGATTGAAGACATTTAGTTCAACTTTATTTGATCATATCTATCCATGAGACATAGAAGCATTTTTAAAGAGAAATTAGGTTTATACCCGTTTCAATGAACATCCTTAGAAAGCCAGTGATGCGGCAGGTGGTGTCCAAGTCAAAGTCTTCATCATCACTGTCCTCAACTGGCCATGTGATTTCTTCTAGGAGCATCTTAAAGAAAACAAATTGTAATTTTAAAAAGGGAGATGCAGATCACATTATTGGAAAATGGAAAAATAGCCAGCTCAGTCATGGAAAAAAGACGTAAAATTCATTAAGTTAAGTCACAAATATAACTAAATTACTGACTTACCTGGGGTGTGAACTGCATTTCAGCCATTTTGGGGAAAAGAAGTGGGACAACATCTGGCCTAGATGTCAGCAGGGGCCATACCATCACATCTTTCAGTCCCTTTCTCAACTGTTTAATTTGGCGCATGGTCCTCCCAACGACCTAAGAGACAGACAGACCCATATTACAGCAGAAATCCTTAACCCAAATTTGACAAAAGTTGGCACAGTAGAACAAAATGTTAATAAAAGCACAATAAAGTGTCTTATAAAAACCCATTAAAACTCGAGTACTTAAACTCTTGTGTTAACATTAACAAGCCAGGGTTCAGAATACATTCTATAATTTCAACAAGTACAGCAATGAGTTCTGTCACTTAACCAGCAGGAACTCACTGCATGGAGTAGAAGTTTATTATGTAGCCATCTCCGATTTGTTTTGGTGACTGCCGGAAGATCCCAAGACATGGAAAGATCTGAAACTGTGGCTTTCTGTTCCGGTGTAAGTTCTTCATGTTCAAGCTAGAATAAGGACCATACCATTTATTATATCTGCCCAAGCAATATTTTTTTACATGGCAAATTATCTTTTAGGTTACATACCAGTTCTATGATGCTCCTGATGTGCAGATCAGGACAGTCTTCAATAACAACAGTAGCCATTTCTGGGTCCCCATTGAGCAGTACATGAATTACAGCAGGACTTAATCCTGTAACATGGGGACCGTCATGCAGAAAAGTGTGGGCCAACATCCTTCCTGCAACCCGGAAGAGGTTGCTTTCAATAAGTGCCTCTGATGCTGCTGGAACAAGATGGTCAGGTTCACCCTCAAATAGCAGTGTTCGGCCCATTCCTCCTGTAAAGTACCAAGAGAGCAGGGAATAAAGTCACAACAACTAACCTCTTAAATACATAAAATTACATCATACTAGTGCAGTGCCCGTTGAAAATGTGCCTGTTTGGAACGGGCGATTACTTGGCCTGTGGTATTGCTGCTTGTAGAATTCACTTAAACAAAATTGTAGCCTACTCCAAAATGACTTACAGACCCCAAACCACTTCAAATGCAACCCCCCTGAATATCCTACTACTGACTTACTGATTTACCTGACACAAAACATTGCCCACCGGCCCTCTGCTAAACAGCACATATCTGCGTTCATCAACCACCAGAACGTGTGCGAGTACTTACCAAGATCTAGACTGAATCCAAACTGGAGTTTGGATATGATTGTTGTCATAAAGTACCGCATCACTCCCTCTCCGATAGCAAGATCACCTGAAATAAAATACTGATAATAACACAGTGGAAAAAAGTGGCAGACAAATACGGGTAACTTGATTAGCTAACATTTAACAAGCAAGGGAGAAAAATAGTCAAAATTATATTGGCTGTAATTTAGAACAGCATCCTTAATATTGATTATTCCAGATAAGAGTATATTGTGCACAATATTCACATACATAACATTTTTTATCAATTATATAATTTTGTGCATTCCATTCTCCCATTTTCCAATGGGACAATTCCATATATGCTACTTGAGTGGTATAAACTGTACTGATGTATTTATATTATAAACTTTATATTACTTACCAACCAGAGTACAATGAAGTGGACATGCCCATTCTTGCTGCTGTTTATAGAATAAGAGAAGCTCCCGTTCCCGGTCCTCTTCAGACTCCCTTACATCCATCTTCATTCTAAGCGGTTTCCCAGTTGCATGTTCCCTTAGCAGATTTTCTTTGAAAACTTTGGCAGCTTGAGTGGGTTCCTCAATAATCTTCCATTCTAAACAAACAACAACAAAGTTATCTATTCCAGAGACATATTGTGAGTTGGCATGTTACCTGCATATACAGATACCCTCTCACTCTACACAACAGGAGGAAAATTATGTTATTTCACTGATAAAACGCGGGACCCAATAGCTTAAAAATCTGTCACAACGCCGAGTTGACATAAAAACGTCATTCAACAAAAACTAAATATTAGAAAAATAAAAAAAACAGGTGCATGTTATTAATTGCCTGTAACTATTATCTTATCCAATTCTATATTAAAAGTGTTCGCTTTCTATTGACTTTTCAGTTACACACAATCTTATAGCAACACTATTGTGATGACACATACCACTGTCTGTTTCTTTGCGATCCAACTCCTCGTTGACCATCACTGCTGGAACTACTGCACTCTCAGCTGATGTTTCAGACCTCACTGGAACACTGTCACTGACTAGGGCTGTCTCACTATCATTTTCTTCCCTTTGGCCTCCCTCTTGTTCTCTTTCCTCCATGGGTGTCCTCGAAGTGAACAGAATCGAAATGGTCATACTGGCTTATTTGTGTGCACAACACTCCAAGAGGACATATTCCCAAAGAAAATGAATATGCTACCCTCGCATTGCTTTAGGAAGTACATACCCATTGCAGCTCAATCTGTGCAGCTTCATCTCTGAAAAGGGAACTTCCATCTGACAAGTGATGCAGGGGATGACTGGACCAGAGGCAGGACGTGAGCTCTCCTAACAACAAATGGCTTTTAATTAATGATTAAAAGTCACCAGTAATCTTTGTTTTGATTATGTATTAAACTAGGTCTCTGTAAATTTATGTACACAATCTAAGGGTAGATCCTGTTGAAGTGGACGTATGTAGATTGTAGCCTGCCCAATCATCGTCGATGGATCTTTCAGATAGGCAAGGGTGTATCCAGTGCTGGGACACTGAAGCAATGCAAGATTTCGACTGCGAGTAGATCCTAAAAGTTTTAGAAGTTCAAAGCCTCCCCCTTGTTGGAGCTTCGGAAACACTTCAATCAGTTTATTTGTTATAACCATGGGATCGTGGTCATTCCCTGGAGAAAAACAAAACAAAATCATAACTCACCTCACCTTAAATTAAGCAAATAAACCTGTGATAACTATTATTCACAGTATTAAAATGAATTACGTTTGAGTCACTATACAATTAAATGCAAATAATTTCAATGAACACAATTTGTTTTGTTTCGGTAAATGCCTAGTTTCGCACTGACCTGAAAATGTTACTTTTTGCTCTCCAAGTCCTGAATGAGGAAGTTCAGCTATAACCAGTACGCTTGGAATTTTATCCGCATTGTGGTCAGCCAAACAACAGACAGTATGTGTGTAGCTTCTTCGGCTAACTTGGACTTGTGCTGGTCGTCTCGTCATATTCCTTCTGGCTCCAATGTTGTATGGCGCAAAGAGCCTTGCTACCTCCGCTGCAACACAGAAAAACGTCACCGCTCAATGGTCACCAGTCAGCTAAAACAGTCTCTACTTCTATCTTGGGATGCTCAAACCAGCTAACACCATTAGCTAACTAGCGGGTTTTATGCTCCACCAATTAACAACGAACGTGTCGCGCACGAAACATCATAATACCACATACAAATACATTTTCGAGTCGATCTAATTTAACCCACACGTGTGTCCCGAATCATTAATGAGTAGCACACCTGGCTAACATGAAATTACTTAGCTTACCTTGGACAGGTGTACGTGATTGAGCGGCCGGTATCTGCTGTGACTGAGCCGCCGGAGCCGTTGGACTTCTGCTCAGAGCTTCCTCAATCAAATTCGCTGCTTCTCTCAGCAGCTCCGGGCAACTTTTTGACATTTTGTCCTGCACCTCGCACGGCGTCTGCGTCCTTGGTCATTGGGGCTAGCAGGACCGCGTCATCTCCTTGATTTTTAGCCGTTGCAATGAAAGTTCTGTTTAACAGCGTATCCAAACCAACGTAGAGGTGAATAGCGTCACCCAGTGTATTGGAATGTGTTCAGTAGCTCTGCAGCGATCCATTATCTGGAATTGATTTGTCTTGACTTGATGCACAGGGTAACCAATCAGGCGTTATGTTCCGCCTACCAACTTTTGATGGGTCAGTTTGACAGTTTTAAGTAATTCATGAAGCGCTGCAACGCAGGATCATGAAATGTAAATGTAAATAGTGAAATAGTTATATATGCATTTTACATACAATGAATCGGTATTTTAATTAATTAATGACACATTTAATGACACATTTATTTATTTAATTCCAATTTTAATTAATGAATGACACATTTAAGTAATTATTTAATGGTGTATTTATTTATTTAATTGTGGCACTTTTAGTCCTCCATAGGTTTTTGACCTAGTAACAGCTTGCAAATTTTCGCTGGTCCAGCTTGCTCTAGCCTCACACGATTGAGACTATTTAAATCAGCTTACATAGAGAGCGAGAACATCACTAGGATTAAAACCTGTGCGCACAATACGTTTAGTATTAGAGCAAAGAGAAGATTTTGTATCTGTTTTAAAATCTTAACTAAACAAAATGCTTTCAGTGAAGGTTTGATCACACTTCCAGGGCTCCAAGCGGCAATGATTATTATCAGCACAAAATGTCATTCATTGTACAATGGTGCAAACGCTATTTCCAGCTCAGTTCATAATAAAAGGAACAATGGTAATACTTCCTCTACCAGTGCAGTTTTAGACCTTATTGGAACCGATTTAACGAGCGTGAAAACAAATTGAGAAGCCTTTTTACTGACAAAAAACTATAGTAAAAAAATGTTAGCTGTATGTGAATGTAACGTTGCAAGACCCAGTCCTCCTTCCACCAGTCAGACGGGGATTTAGTTTGAATTTTTTGTATCATGGAGGAATAATACAGGCCGAGTAGGCAGAGGCCGAGGGTCCGAGGGAAGACATATCTCTGAAGATTTCTTGTTGGAATTTTAATTAGTGAATTAAATATAAGACTACATCTTTATTACACTAAACAGACACAAAACAACAAAGAGAGCATTGATAAGTATTTCGATCTGCCATTTTGCATGTCACCCCATCCGAAGTGTCCAGCTTTGCTTAATGTTTGTCATGTTGGTTAATTTCTTTTCACCCCACAAAAATGTGCGGCTCATTGATTTTCACTTCATTGTGTCACAACTTGGTGCCAGAAGCAGGACTCAATCGCTGATGTCAGGCACAAAAAATGTATTTATTTATCAAAATGCAAACCGGGGATCAGGGCAGGTGCAGACAAAACACATTCCTACAACATTCAATGACTCAACCAGGGACAAAAGACACACATGGGCCGGTGGAGGTGATTGGACACAGGTGGAAACAATCAGGGACACGGCAGACAATCACAGGGGGGGGACAGGGCAGAAAGCGAAGCTAAACCCGGGACAGAAGAGGCAGGAACTACAAAATAAAACAGGAAACAAACCCACACCGTGACAGACAGAAATGATTCATTACAGTTTCAAGTATGGATTTTGATCAACCAGATATAGACGTTTGTTTTTTGAAAGGAAATGTTTCTGAAAACCCAGAGTGAGTTTAACAATAGAGCAGATATAATCTCACACCCACAAAACGCTGCCGTCAGGAAATGCTGCTAAAAACAAGCCGCCAACACAGAGCGGCTGTTGGTATAGTTCAGTTATGAGTAATCGTTATTACAGTAACTGTACAAACCATATTGTATCACCTCTTTATCTGCTCAGATGCTGGTGGAATCAATACCTGCATCGTACCATATATGAAATCAGCATGGTTAGAAAATAATTTGAAAGAAAAAGTATAACAACAAATACCCTTCCATTCAAAACCCACAATCAAGATCATTTGCAGAAATTGAGCAACCTTTGAAGTTACTAAACACCTCCAGCTCATGTTACACGGTTTATTTTTTAATCATGTTTCATTTAGACTTCCTTTTTTTTGGTCTTCCTTTTTCTTTTTTAAACCATGCAGAAATAGGAAGTACATTCTCTTTCAGTGAATGGCATCATTGGGTCTAAATGTATATTTTCCAAATAATTTTCAGCTTTGCATTTAGCTACAATTTAAAAAAAAATATTGCACACTGAAATGTTTAACCAACAAGATGAAGATGGTAAGCCTGCTAAACACAAACATTGTAGCGTTGTCATTGTTAGCATGCCAATGTGAGCTTATAGTACAGTTCTGAATCACATAACAGCATGGCTGCATTGATTATTTTAGAGCATGCCAGCCAGTTGCCGACTTGGTGAAAATTGTTGGTTGTTAGGGTTAGGGGTTAGGGTTAGGGTTAGGGTTAGGTAGGGTAGGGTTAGGGCTAGGGTCAGGGTTAGGGTTAGGGGTTAGGGTTGGTTTTTCGCTCTGCAGGTAGAGAGAACTTTGTCTTTACTTAAACGCACATTTCCTCTGATTTGGGTTGCTGGCGCAAACTAAAGACCTCGGAGTACGTGACATCGTCTGTGTGCTTCTCATCCGGTGAAGGTGCAGAGTCTCTTGATCGTTTGAGCTTGACGTCAGAATAAACCACATTCTGTCAATTTTGGTGAGAAAGAGATTAGTTGGAGGCCTGCTCAGTTGTATCATTAGGTCGCTTTGTTGAAACAGTGGCAGCACTACTACATTTAAACTGAATGAAATGCATCCAACATGTGGTTTCAAACCAGCTCACCTCGTCTCTCACAATGAAAGACTGTCTGCCCACATCCACCTGTGCACCACCTGTATCTGAAAGACGAACATGCGTTAAGTCAGGGGAACTAAAACACACACAAGATATAAATGAATTGAGTTGTGCAGAGTTGTTCTCACCTATGGAGACACGCTGCCTGGCCGTAGCATCACATCTGGGTGAAGGAATCAAGAGTCCAGTGATTATGAAATTGCTTTACAGTGCATCCGGAAAGTATTCACAGCGCTTCACTTTTTCCACTTTGTTATGTTACGGCCTTATTCCAAAATGGATTGAATTCATTATTTTCTTCAATATTCTACACAAAACAACCCATAATGACAAAGTGAAAAATGTTCAGTATCTTTTCTTTTTGTATAAAAGTAAATGTTACTTTTCTAAGGCTGCTACATTCTTATGCAAAATAATCACACACATACACACACACACTCACCTTCTGATCTGATAAACAACGGCTGCAATGACCACTAACAGCACAATGACAGCAATCACTATAGCAGACACCGACCCGGAGGATAACGGCATCTGTTCTGAAGAAATATGATGCTCAATTTGAGATCATAATAACAATTCATTTATCACTGATAATTTGTTGAGAGATAAAAAATGTATCCGCTAATAGGGACGGTAGGATTAGAAAATATAAAACAAAATATTGTATTCAAATTTGGTTTCTGGCTTGGAGTAATACTGATTTTAATTCTCTCACCTTGAACATGAAGCTGGGTGGTCCCTTTAAGTGAACCACTAGGAAAGGCTGTAATGCTGCAGGTGTAAGACCCTTCATCTCTCATTTCCACTTTGTGGATTATCAGAGATTCTTCTTTAATCTCTACTCTCCCCTTTAGAAACGAGTCTGAAACATTAACTCCGAATTTGTGATGAGAAACAACAATGTTGATTTTCTTTCCTTCTGCTGGTTGGAGCTCCCACTGAAGCTGATCCTTGGTATCGCTTGGCCCTAGGATGAATTGGCATGGCAGCGTGACATCGTGGCCGAGGTATCCCGTCACTGAAGGCAAGACTTTGACTTTTTGTGCTTGATGAATTGCCAAAACATGTAAAATTAAACACAAACTGAGTTATTTCTTCTTCCACCTTGTTTTAGACGTCCTTTTCTGTGGTTTGGCACATTGTTCAACACATTTTACAAAATGTTGACTGTAACAAAGTAAGTAACATCAGTGTATTTAAAAAAGCTATATTTTTATGAAACCGTCTTAAACAAACATTTTACATTATTTCAAACCAATATTATCTTATTATATATCACCATGACTTTTAAAAGTTTACATTTTGTCTTACCTGATATTAATGAAAAAAAGATCATCTTCAGAACTGCAAGAGGTGCTTTGCTGGAGGTTTTCATTGTTCAAAGCTACAACAAACAATACCCATTAAAGTTTAACACCACAACGCTTTTACCTTAAATCAACATGACAAACTTACTGTTACGAAAGAGGTCAATCCGCTTTGCAGGTGGTTTATTGAAGACTGAAAGAATGACAGCATTGGAACACAGAATAAAAAATCATCGGCAGAGAGGAACCACCTCCAACACGCAGTGTTGTTATCAAAAGAGGAACCTTGTCTGACCCATAATATGTGCTCAGCAAAAATCAAGTCACAATATGACTAAAACACATAAGTGTGCAAAAGCATTTTGTTCGGTTTAACTTTCCATTATAAACTGTCATTTCGCTAAAACATGTAAAGCAGCATGTGTTGCTTTTGCAGGACTCTTCAGAAATCCACCTTTTTTTATAATAATTTAGTATTTGTGATATTGTGATATGAAACACACCGTTAACTGCTAACACACACACACAGGTAATTTTTACACAAAAAAATTGTCACATGTGTACTTCTCTCCTGGCAGGTCCAGGTCCCACCAACTTCTGCAGCTCATCAGGAACGCAGCAGCTCGACTGGTCTTTAACCTTAAATTCTCCCACACTAGTCGGCTCCTCTGCTCTCCTCTCTCATTGTGAGTCGCTTTGGATAAAAGCATCAGCTAAATGACATGTAATGTAATGTAACTCACTCATTATTATTGATACCCAAGATCATCTTTTATTTGGTTTATTTGGAGAACTGTTGATAGAACATAGTCAACTGGCAAAATTATAATTTTGTGATAAAAATTATATATTTGTATGTATTTGTATTTCGTGATATCATTTCAAAGACTGATTATTAGTGCTGTTCAATGTCAAATATAAATTTGACATTGAACAGCACTGAATAGTTTGTTTCTCTTTGATTGACAGCTTTAGTTGAGATGCCGGATGACACCAGTATGAGGAAACAAAAGAGCATAAAGCATACGCCTCCTACATCATCTACGTGCTCTCTGGATAAATTAGCCCCAGGTGTTGAAGAGTAATCGGGGCCGGGGATGCAACGCTTTGCCTGTTTCAGTTGGTGGAACTCAGCTTGTTGCCTGCATGTAAATTACTGGTCTTACGGCGCAAAACAGGAATAACAACACGACAGACACAGCTCTGCATTCCCCGGAGCCAAGGCTCACACTGTGTTTCCATGTCAGAGGCTGTGGTGCATTGAGCCTTGTGAATGTGTTGGTAGAGCATCAATAGCTAAAAGTTGCAGCAAATACTCACAGTAATATGATGTCATTAGCCATAGATAACGCTTCACTACTGCAAGACGCATATAAGAGGAAAAGACAAGAAGCAATCAGGCCGACAAATTACCACCCACACAAACTCTAATAATTTAATTTCTTCATTTCTACATTTCTACATTTCTTCAGAACTGTCCCTGTCAGTCAGAATGTTTGACAGCGACAGGAGGGGTTTGCTGCAGTAAACTCTTTAACACGCCGATGCTCAGGGCAAAGATTATAAACTAGGTCAAAATCCAGGATCACATTATTTACAATAGTGAAGAGTTTTGAACCTTTTGTCACCCAGAACAGGAAATCTAAATCTAGATTCCTAAATCTACTGCTTCCTTGTAGGAGAAAAAATAAAAGTCCTGTCTGTGACTCGTGGCTGCCTGAAGGTGGACAATAAGGAGATATCTGCAAGTAGCCTTTATAAAATCCACACTGGAGTGGAGCACTGATAAAAAAACATAAATCCAGGTATTACTCATGTCCTGTCTTATCAAGGTGATTCCAATTAGGATTTCTGGAGATGGGAAATCCTAATTTCTAATAATTCCTAATTTGAAGGAATAAGTGTCTTTTTATTGTTAACTGTAAAGCGCTGTGTCATTTGGAATTAAACTAGTGATAATATCTGAAGTACCAGTTACTGTGTGAAAATCAGCTGCTGTTCTTTGTGAGACCAAATGAAAGCGCAGGTGTTTATTTGTACTCTTACATCTGCCAAAGTCTGTTTAATAAAGACTCACATAATAATTGTTTTTCCCATGTGATATTTGTCAATTCATCTCACAGATGACAAGCTGCGACGTCAATATCTATTGAGTCAAATCAACATTTCTTGTGCAGAACATTTTTATTGATTTTGATCAGGGTCCTGATGCGTCGGAGAAGGAACCTGGAGAAAACAAATGTACAATGTAAATTAGTATGACATCTAGAAAGAACTAATAGATAAGACAGATATTCCATCTTTTTTAGATAATCTCACCTGCTAACTCCTGATTATTGCGCTGATGAGAAGCAATAAATACGACCACTGGGGAGCACTGCAGGATGCTTTATGAAGTACAGAAAAAACAAGCAGCATCAGCACTTGGAAGCACCGGCTTGCTTTAAAATGTAGACGACACGGACAAAACAACCATGACAGTTAACAAACATGCATGTTATTTACAAATGAATGAATGCATCACTTTCTTGACTCTATTTAAAAGGAGACATCTCACCTTTCAGGTTCAGAACTGTGGAGTTTTCCAGCATAGTCACCATATTTCTGGCAGTGCAGGTGTAATTCCCCATGCGTTCTACCTCAAACCGCTCTATGGTGTACACGGAGTTATTCACACGCATGTCGTTGCCGTTGAACATCCAGCTGAAGTTTGCTGGTGGGACGGAGTCTGCTGTGCACTCCAGTGCGACTCTCTGGCCAGGTGCTGCTGCTGATGGTCCAATAATTGATATGTTATGTGGTCCAACTGCACAGAGAGGAGAAAGTATTAAGGTCCCTAACATTAATAAAAGTACTAATATGACACTTTGCAATTGATAACCCCTTTCAAGTAAAGTCCTCCATGTACAATGTTGCACCATTTAAGGTGTTTAAGTAATCAGAGAAATGTAATACAAGTGGTGAAAGTAAGTACGAAGAGTACAAAGTGGTATTATGAGAAAATGTACATCAAGCTAATACTTTTATATTGCGTCGTCTGTGTAACTTAAATATAGGTTTAAAGTCACATTTTTACACTGAATAAACAAGACTACTTGAGTGCTATGCAGTTTTCTTATTGCCATGCATAACTGCTACTAATACTACTAATAACATGCAAACACATTTTAGAGCACATTTTCAAAGTTTTTAACAAATGCCCACAATTGTCTTTTGAAAATAGTCCTGTTTGTTTCCCAAGTGATTTGAGTGAGCCGTACTCACAGTTGACAGTGAGATCTCGGGCCACAGTCACGGTGCTGACTGGGTTGCTGACTCGACACTGGTAGGTGCCGTGGTGGGAGCTGTGAACTGGCTGCAGGAACACCGTCTTGTTGTCCACGGAGAAGGTGACCCTCCCACTCGGACGGAGCGGCCGCTTGTCCTTCATCCACTCAATGGTGCTGATGGAGCCAAGGGCCTCGCAGCTGAGGTTGGCCGAGCTTTTGTCTTCTATCAAGATGGCTGCAGGGCTGCTGGTGATGGTCGCTTCAGTTATCAGCGCTGACCGAACACAAAGTCAACATAGTGAATGAAAGGATGAATGTGGGAATCAATCGCTTTGATTTTTTGTCTTGAGAAGAAACCTTTTTCGCTCCACACATTACATGTGGGCATGACAACTATACTATTACCTCTAAATCCATGAGAAAGGGGTGAAAAAAGTGGAGGATTACATTCAAGCGCTTTTTAATTTTTTTAAAATGTAATACAATCAGCTTGGAAAAGGCTGCATTCTTTGCAAGACTGCTGTAATAAGTTAAATAAAATGTTCCACCACATTGTTCACCAAAGGTCTCGCTGTATTAAGCAATATGGATTAAAACTAATATTTCTGAATCAAAATTTTAATAATGTGATATCCTTTTGAGTGTGTTAAAAACGCCTCACAGGTGCTTTTAC